GGGGGGGGGGATTTAGTGACTAAGAAATGGGAAAATGTTGAAAAATCAAGGCCTAGAAGCATGTTATGAAGTATTCTGAATGTCTTCAATCACGTATTACAAAGGTACTTTAAAGTCGAGGGACACGTTAATTTATTTTACATTATTTTATTCAGTGTTCCGTGGTTTTTATGTTCGTGAAATATTTTATAAAAAAATTTAAAACAATATATTATAGCCAGTGAGCCAAATATATTTCGTCATCAAAATAGGATATAAATATCGAGGTGGTACTTCTTAAATAACTTGGCCCAACAGTATTTGTACATAGTGCAAATGGCTACGTGACCGAGCCTCCGCTGTCTCATTGTTGAACGCAAATCATTCTTCTGTCGTCTCAGAGCACTGAAACTACCTTCAGCATCGCAACGTGAAGATGAGCACACATGCGTTAATCACACCTACGCTTCAATATGATGAATATAATTCTCGAACTTCTTCCGTTGAAGCCAAAACATGATCTTCGCTACTTTTCACAAATACTTAGTTCAGGTTTTCCTTTCTTCTTATTCTTCTACTCCTCCTTCTCTTCTTCTACTCCTCCTTCTCTTCTTCTACTCCTCCTTCTCTTCTTCTTCTTCTCTTTTCTTCTTCTTCTCTTCTCTTTTCTTCTTCTTCTCTTCTCTTTTCTTCTTCTTCTCTTCTCTTTTCTCCATCTTCTCTTCTCTTTTCTCCATCTTCTCTTCCCTTTTCTTCTTCTCTTTTCTTCTTCTTCTCTTTTCTTCTTCTTCTCTTTTCTTCTTCTCGTCTTCTTCTTCTCGTCTTCTTCTCTTCTTCTCGTCTTCGTCTTCTTCTCGTCTTCTTCTCGTCTTCTCGTCTTCTTCTCGTCTTCTCGTCTTCTTCTCGTCTTCTCGTCTTCTTCTCGTCTTCTTCTCGTCTTCTTCTCGTCTTCTTCTCGTCTTCTTCTCGTCTTCTTCTTCTCGTCTTCTTCTTCTCGTCTTCTTCTTCTTCTTCTTCTCCTCCTCGTCTTCTTCTTCTTCTCCTCCTCGTCTTCTTCTTCTTCTCCTCCTCGTCTTCTTCTCCTCCTCGTCTTCTTCTCCTCCTCGTCTTCTTCTTCTCCTCGTCTTCTTCTCCTCCTCGTCTTCTTCTTCTCCTCGTCTTCTTCTTCTCCTCGTCTTCTTCTTCTCCTCCTAGTCTTCTTCTTCTTCTTCTCCTAGTCTTCTTCTTCTTCTCCTCCTAGTCTTCTTCTTCTTCTCGTCTTCTTCTTCTTCTCCTCGTCTTCTTCCTCTTCTCCTCGTCTTCTTCTTCTTCTCCTCCTCTTCTTCTTCTTCTCCTCCTCTTCTCCTTCTTCTCCTCCTCTTCTTCTTCTTCTCCTCCTCTTCTTCTTCTCCTCTTCTTCTTCTTCTCCTCCTCTTCTTCTTCTCCTCCTCTTCTTCTTCTTCTCCTCTTCTTCTTCTTCTCTTCTTCTTCTTCTTCTCTTCTTCTTCTTCTCCTCTTCTTCTTCTTCTCCTCTTCTTCTTCTTCTTCTTCTCCTCTTCTTCTTCCTCTTCTTCTTCCTCTTCTTCTTCCTCTTCTTCTCCTCTTCTTCTTCTTCTTCTTCTTCTTTCTTCTCCCTCTCCTCTTCTTCCTCTCCTCTTCTTCTTCTTCTTCTGATATAATGACATCTGACATGATGACATGGTTTTGTTTCATCGTTGGGCTGTTTCTTTCAAGGGGTAAAAAGTTTTCTCATTACTTCATTTAGAAGAGTTGATAATTTGAATTTTTCTTACTCGCCTAAATTTGTCGGTCAGGTGAGAATTGCGTAAATATCGCACTGTATTTTTTGGAATGTATAATAATGTGTGGTAACACTAACAATTTGTTGTGTTTTACATATAAATTAGAACTTCAAAGATACATTGCAATATCTGGCGTCATGCCAGTTCGGTATTTCCCGGATAGTGTAATTTCACTTATGTAATCATTTCGTATCTGTTCGGAACAATCTGATCAGTCAGCCCATTCCTCGAATTATAAAGGCTGTCGTAACAAATCGTCTCGCCAGAAAAATGAAAGTTAAAAACCGCCTTTCATTGACGTTTAAAGTACACTTAGCGCTGATTGTATTATTTCATACTTAATAAATAATCAGTCCAGTAAGTATTTTCAGTTCAGATCAACCCTTCTATTTTATATACATTTATTCATTATGTTCTAGAAATTGGAACTAAAGCAAGAATGTTGTGGGACTAAGAGAAAGCTAAATGATTAGTACTCAGAATTTCCGGTGGGTAAAACTGCCTTTTTCTTAGGACGCGTTTAAAACTTAATTTCCATTAGAAACGAAAACGTGACTGCGAATTGACGGGAGGTTGCCGAGGGGTCAACCCCCTTCATTGTTTGATGTCCCTCTCTGGAAAAAAAATTTTGTCTTTGTCAGGGTTGCAATCACTTCTTATTAGGTGCCTTCCACAATCAATCATTCATAATGTGTTGCGTTAGCGAAGATGTTCCATTCTTCTCTTCCTTGAGTTTTGGATGTCTTTTTCTCGAGAAAATTACGAATGATTTTATTTAAAGGTCGTATATCTGATTTGAAATCTTCTAATCGGAGAATAAAGTTCGAACAGGACAAAATATCATTTTCGCCAAAAATATCTTATCGTATCTTGTCAGACTCAGTCGGCGAAGTGTCTACATGCAGCTTTCACAATCACTTCTGAAAATGATAAGCAGATTTACGAATAAGCCGACCACTATCTGACATCCGCCGAATAATCGCATTTCCACTAGCTTATCTTGTTATATCAAATCCAGCATGTTAACCTGCCATTTTTCTCCCTACGTTATATAATGAAAATTGCTACATTTAAAATGCTCTTTAACAATTTGCCGCATTCATGATAAACATTCTAGGTATAACTAGAAATTTAATCGTTTACAAGGAATTCAAAAACGTCTAGTCATTTTATTAATGAGAACTTACTATATTTTAATTTTTTTTACAGAATAATATTCTGTAATAACATTACTATAATGAATAGTACCCTGATAGTTTTTATATTAAAATGGATACAAATGTTTTCTCGACATTTCATGTCTAACCAGGATGCGCATTGACATTTAATTTAAACTTTTGAATTTAAAAATAAAGACATATTGCAAAGTTTGATTAAAAAGGAAGCAAAGAAATGCTATTTTATGAATGATTTAATGCATCGAAAAAGATAGTTTATGATGATGTACAACAGATAAATGTATAACACTTTAAATGTCACAAATGCTGTGTGAACATATTTTCATTAATGGCTATTTATAAATAATTTTTACAATAAATATTTATATTCCATCATGTGGGAGGTAGAGGGTGACACTTCCAGCTTGCAAGAACTCGGCGTTTAGGTTTGCTCATGCTTATAGTGCATGCAGATGAGCCTGAAGTGGGAAGCTGCGGCATGCAAATGCTCTTCGGTTTCAGAAGAAAACGCGTGTCATTCACGTGCTTCCACCGTAGATGCTGTCTACGCCGAGCCGGCCGACGCATTGCGTGCTCTATCACGCCACTGGCGTTATCAATAGTATTCACGACGTTACGTTAGGCTTCGTTCGCGAATGTCTTCTGTTCTGGAAACGGAGAGTCCACATCCGACGTTCTATGCCATGATCCAATCCAATGATGCTAAGTGCCTACATTATTTTTTTAGCAATCAAATTAAGTCAACTGATGGAATTTGAAAAGATGGCCTTTGACTTCGTCCAAAAAGTCCGATGATGATTACCAACGTCATTCACAAGTATTACTACAGAAATAAATACAGATGAGACGGTATACAAAACTATCTAAGAAATCTTGTAATGTAAAGGAAAATATTATTTTACATCCGTACATTCTAATTTTATCCAGTTAAAAATGTTTAATATATACCAATTCATATTTTTCACCATTTAAATGTACTGTCCCACAGTTTTAAAACGAAGATCTTAAATCACAGCTCTTAGCTCAGCACAATCACAGCTTTGGGTCCTTCAATAAACAGGTACTTCACATTGTGCATATTCTTATTTTTACTCCAAATCTATCGAAAATACTTTTTATGAATTTTCCAAAAACCTCTCAAAACGTAGTACGAATAGAGAGTGTTGATTATAATGAAGATAGATTCTTCCTTCAAATAAATTTTTGAAGGAGAGTTCTTTCATTAAGGTCATGTACATTTTTTTGAAAATTTTAGTAGTTTTGCGCAATATTGCGAGCAATATGTGCAATTAAAAAAAATACGACTATAAGATTTTCTCAAAAACGACTCCAATTTTTTTTAACTCTTCGTAGGGATTGTATAGGCACTGTATAAGATGATATAAATGCCATATTGCTCTATCCTTCTGTTTTGTTTTTTCAATAATTTCAAGAAGGTATTTTTTTTTACTTTTCTCTCACATCATTAATGTTTACATTAGCGGTAATGTCTTTGCATTAATGTATTTATGAGTACATGTGCTTTAAGTAATGCCATATAGTTTCCCGACTACTCAACATTTTCCGAGAAAATGAGCTCAAAATTCTGAATTTTTAGAAACGCTCAAACAACATTTTCTCAAAAACTGTTCCAATTGTTTTCTTCAAACTTTCCCACAGGTAGTGTTAATTGAAGTGTTTAATATAGAATTAATTTTGCTGTATTCATTTCTTTTTTCAAAAATTACACAAATATATTATTTTTTAATACCTCTCACGCCTTTATATCTACATTTCTAGCGATTTGTAAACATTATTGCATTTGCGACTAGAAGTGCTTGGACGTCAGATGAAACTTTTCGAAAACTCAAACTTCGAATTTATATTAGCGCTTAAATGCCAGTTTCTTAAAAGTAGCTCCAATTTTTTCAATGAAAATTGCTTAGGAGGATTTTATTGTTTGTTTTTAATATTGTTATAATAATATTTCTGTTCTACTATTAGGAAGCCGAAAATTTAAGAAAGTTTTTTTTTTTTTAAATGTACTTTGGGCGGCGATAGATGGCAGCTGGCAAGTTCAAATAGCTAGCCGAGACCAATAGAAATATAATTGTAATACGAGAAAGTCTGTGTCATTCTGTAGCACCACTAGTTTAAATTGGTTATCTTCGTTTTTAATTTTTTTCCCACAAGAAACTCTCAGTTGATACTTTAAATGTACAAAGAGATCATTCAGATTTGTAGTCAACATGTTCTTCTTAAAGAAACTCCCAATACCGTGCGTGGTTTTATGTTCCGGATCCGCGCTTAGTGTTGTCGACCTCTTTTTCTCTCCTTGTGCTCTTAGCTCGCACTCGCTCTCCTATCGCAGAGAAAGTGGCCTGCGCTTGTGCCTCGGGCGAGTTACGAGTTAATTGGTGATTTGACCCATAAATATTAGAATGCGAGATTGAGTGTTGGCAATAATGTGTACGTGAGGAGACTGATGCATGTTCTTTATTGAACGCTTCAAAAGAACGGATGTTTAGCGTGATATTCTGCTCTTTACTCCCAACCTACTTCTTACTGCGTCGTATTGTACAAACTACGTTTTTGAAGTTTTGCTTTGTGGTCAAGGAACATTTCTAGCATTTCTCAAAATTCTTCAAGGACAAGTTCACATATTTCCGATGAAAGTTCAGAATAGTTTTCTTTGTAAGCAACGAGATATCGTGCATCTTTTTTGTGATAGCTGTAGAAAAAATATATTTCCTTTGTATTCACTTTATCATCCCTGCAAAAGCCCAAGAAGTTTCTCTGGGTCATAAAGATTTACACGATTGTCTATTGTGAACATGCAGTGTTCGTCGTTTTTCGATGGATGTGTGAATGGCTATGAAGTAGCACTTTGTGTTTTAGATTGAACTATGAATGAAAAATTGTTAGATATTTTGATAGTTATGTTTTTTCAGCTCATCAGGAAAAAAAATTAACAATAGAATTTCAGGCAAACATTCTCTTTTCATGTGTGTATTGTAAATCGTTTCACCAACTTTCAACAGAAAAAGATTTCCTTTCTTCTAACGTTAAATAACATTTAGACTATTAGCTACAAAATGTGTGTGGTTACAATTTTCATTTCTCCTCACAGCTTGATCTGAACAAACCAAGTCAAGTACAGTTGTATGTGCTTCTCGCATTTAAAATATTTCTAATTACCCTGGACTCAGATAAGCGACATTTGAGTCAGTGGCTTATTAACAATTGAGGGACAAACAGATTTCAAAAGTTCACACCTTGCCCAGCGTAACAATTCCTCGAATTTTAGTAGACAATTATAATTGATCTCTATCAGTTTCCAAATATAAAGATAATACGCTGGAGTTAAACCTTTAATTATTAATTACAATTAAAGAACTAATTAAAATGTATTGCGTTTGACATTATGAACTCTACTAATTTTGTACTTAAAATATTAAAAACGTTTTCTGTATTATATTTAGTATTGATATTTAGAAAAAATATTTTTTAACGCTATTGAGATCATTTTATAAGATGAATAGAATATTTTGTTCAGATAATCAAAGTATATTGTTTAAAGTGCCAAGGTTTGTCAGCTTGTGCTGTTGATTCGTATTAAAACCTAGAAAATATATTTCTAACCTTGTGATAGAGAATGGGCTCTTGTCTGCGACAACAAAATACCGTGTCGTCAAAAACGCTACTTTAGTGGTCATGAACATTGGTCGATGAAATATTTTCAATTGACAAAACGTTTGTTAAAAATGAATTGAATTAAGTGATATAATTGAACCAGATAGGTATTCAGTACACCAAATAATGAATATAAGAATTAAAATTGTATTAATTTAACTCAGTTTCAAAAGACCAGAATCGTATTTTTGGTACACACCTGTGACCCCGCCTTTGTCCCTTTGGAACGTATCTGTCCAGTCTGTGTCCAGCACATTCAGATCATTCCTCTCCGAGTATTTCCTTGTCACACTGGCAGTTCAATTTTCAGTACTTTTACTTTTAGATGTATTTATTACTGCAAAGAGTTCCAGATTTTTACGAAATATATTTTAAAAATCGGACGTTATCTTTAAAATCATATAGAGAACATTTGTGTGTGACTTATTTTATAAATATACAGAGGAAAAGAAAAACCTGTGATTTTGTGTGGAAAAAAATAAAGAGGAAATTTTAACACTTACAAAGTTCCCAATAACGCCCTTCAGTTTTTGTTGTAACAATTAAATTTTGTTCACTATATTGTTGTACATAGCAGTTTTCTTTCTTGGTGGTCTGCCCACCACTGAACTCTAGCAACTTTGGTCGTTTTTTTAAGGTTCTTAAAGGTTTTTAAAAAATTATTCACGTCCTCCCGATGTACCGAAGACCGGGAGAGGATGCAGTGGTGGGAATGAAAATTAATTTTATTGAAGGGGAGGGCTATTGTTTATTTGATTGGCTAGATTGGTGCTTATTTTATTTTACTTTTATTTTGGCTGTAACAGAATGGTTATTTTATTAAGGGTTTTTGTGAGAAAGGTAGTTTATTTTGTTTAGGATTGGCAGAGTTAACCCGTTATTTTATTGAGGGGAGTAATGTGGTGATGGACGGTTTATTTTGTTGAAAGTGGAATGTTACTGTGGATTTTAGGGCCATAGGTTGTTGCCTTTTAACGTGATGGGTTTGCGAATGGAATTGGGAGGGTTAAGATATAAAGTATGTGATTTTTCTATTGTGGGATATTAATCTGCGATTTGATTACATTTTTAAAGGAAGGGTTGGCTATTGCTTTTTCTACACTATTTTGGGCTGCTGCTTCGGTCGTTAAAGGTTCATGTGGTTGCCTTGTTGGATTGCCAAATAACATAAGTTAGTTTGGGTCTAAAGATAAATCTAACTTTTCTGTTGTCTAGTCTTAGTCTCAAATATACATAAATGGCATCCGATTTGCTAACAGCCATGCCTCCTTTGCTGGCTGCACGCGAAACAACCCCTAAGCAGAAACATGATGCGAAACGTTCGCTCGGAACTATACTGAGCAGCGTCTACTTTGGGGTAAATTCGGCGCTCGGTTTCGAGCGACGATCTGAATGATAGAAGTACCACCGTTTCAAATACCTTTTGTTTCCTGAAGGTCTTAAGCAAAAGTACAAATTATAATCTGAATGAAAGACCTGTTTTCTTTTTCAGTATTTCTCTTCCTTGAAGTATAATATAATAACCTAGTGGACCCGGCAGTACTTAGCTATTGCAATATTTTACATTTCTCACGCTACTGGTCACGTGATTGTTAATCACGTTTTACGCTACACTCTTTTAATGAAAGACTTTCTTGCGAATATGGGTTTGTTTTATGTCCTGGTTTGGACATGGTCAATTATCCTATTGTTAAAACATTCTCCGTGAAGATTGGGCACGCATTCGCCGTCTTAAATTTGATTTACTTGTGAAAAATGTTTAAGAAATAATTCCGGCCGATATTTCACAATCGCAGGGGCAGAATATGCAGCGAAGCAGCGCTTAATACTTGAGGGTACGGCGGGTTGCGTAGAGCGCTCAGAGGGCGCTTAAGCCGGCATAAATCCGTTATAGCAACAACGCCCCCATTTTCGACCAAGTGCATCAATAGTACGCACATTCCCATTGTACTAAGCCTATATTCTTCGCGCAAGTGGAAGTATTAAGTTGATAAAATTTTATCACAATAGGATGAACGGTACGATAGCGCATAAAATACGAATAAACAAACATTGATTTATATATATTACACAACGAAAATAGTTATGCTCAGTCGCACTCTTCATCTGCAGTAGACCGAAGTTTGTTCACTTTTTTGCTTCAATATCATTTATAGAATTTAATTTTGTAATCGAACAAGTTATTCAAACATGTGACAACTTTGTATAATAAAAAAGTATGTATATTAATTTTTGATTTACTGACAAAATCTATTTATTCTAAATGTTTGCTCTCTTTGTAGTTTGAAACTGTCAACCCCTCAAGATGGAGACATCCTACTTGATTATTCAAAAAATCGTGTGGATGATAATATTTTGAAAATGCTTTTCGATTTGGTAAGTACATTTTGAGAAAAAGTCAAAGTAGGTTTATAGAAAATCGCATAGCCTGTAGCTATTTTAATACTATCAAAATGTTTTGCGTCTTAAGCGGGTACATTCTTTACTCATTGAAGCGTTCTTGGTGTACTGGAACTTATTTTCTTAGAGTGCGTTCTGATAGCAAATGGAAAACATTTGTTGTGAGGTTATTCTCAATGAATGGAGATCAAATAGAGCAAGGAAACTTCCACCAACCCCATTGCTTCCATTTTCGCCTGAACCAGAGGGCTGTTAGACAAGAGGAAATACAGATTTAATTTTAATAGTCTGAAATTGTGAAGTAATATTTTTGTAAAATATGTTGTTGCTTTAAAAAAATATAGTAATACCAGAGTCTCGTTATTCAAAATATGTCTGAAATTATTTAACCAAAGTGAAACTGTGAGAAAGGCATCTAATTAAGCAACTTTATTTAATATATTAATATATGCGTATGCGCTCACTCGTAAGTGTGCTTGCGAGTGTGTGCATGTGCGTGCGTGCGCAAGCGTACTTGCGAATGTTAGTGTATGATTTTTTGTGAGTTTTTCATACCATCGTCATCTTTATCATTATTATATTATATTATTATTATTATTATTATTATTATTATTATATTATATTATTATTATTATTATTATTATATTATTATTATTATTATATTATTATTATTATATTATTATTATTATATTATTATTATTATATTATTATATTATTATATTATTATTATTATATTATTATATTATTATATTATTATTATATTATTATTATATTATATTATTATTATATTATATTATTATTATTATTATTATTATTATTATTATTATTATTATTATTTATTGAGGTAGTGAAAATGCTCCCTTGGCCCTTTCCCCCTGAGCTGATGTGTAGTGCTCGATGCGAATCGCTCGACTGTTTCGCAGGCGCGGGCGCGGCAGGTGGAGGCGCGGCGCGACGCCATGTTCAGCGGCGCGCCCATCAACTTCACCGAGGGCCGCGCCGTGCTGCACGTCGCCCTGCGCCACCGCGGCACCACGCCCATCACCACCGGCGGCAAGGACGTCATGCCCGACGTGCGCGCCGTGCTCGACCACATGAAGGCCTTCTCCCAGCAGGTGAGGCCCGCTTGGCCGGGAGCGGACTCGCCAAGTATATCAGGAAGAGGAAAGCGAGATTTCTGTTCCTGTGCCCATAGATGTTTTTTAAATATTCAACTTGAAATAAAAAAAAAAAAAGAATGTATTAAAAATAGGAATACTCCTTTCGGTACGAGGTGATTAATGTAGTAATTGTTTTGAAAAATTATGTAGAATTTCAATTAAAAATGTTAGCCTGGAGAAGGTGGGGGGGGGGGGTCATGTCTCCAAACTGATTCATCTATTGAGCCAAGCTTCCTGCAGATCCATCACAAGTCATCTTTGGTTTTCTCCACGTCACAAAAATGCTCCTTTCAACTCCAACTTATTCTGCCTGCCTCATTCATCCTATCTGCTCCCCCTTGCTCAAAGGACATCTATCCAGTGCAAGTCCTCTTGACCTCCTCCGTTGTCCTTAACTAAAGTTCTGGAAAAAAGGAGAGCCTTATCTGGACTTTTCATTTTTTGCCTCCCTTTCCAATGCACCTTGATAACTTTCTCACCACATGAACATTACAGATTTCCATTTCTTTCCTAGCCTTATTCTTATTCCATCATTATAAACAATAAAATTACTAGAGGTGTAATCTTTCCTCTATTCATATACTTTTCTTTTCACAAACCAACCAGTGTCAAAATTTTATATATATATAATCAGAAAATTGAAATCAAATTACAGGAATAAAATTTGTTATACAACTGCATCCATACAGAATGCAATGTCTGAATTACTAACTCATTCAAACTCAAAAATACCAGGCCAAGGGCAAATTCCCTTTACCTTGCCAAGCATGATAATAACTAATGTTATCTCAGCAGATTAGTATTATCTTTATCTTGGGGTTTACAATGTGTTAATAACATTTGTTGTAAAATGTAGTGACTGGAATATTTGTACAGACATTATATAACACTCACCAGATGGCCTTAGGCTCATTGTTGTGGGAAATTACAATTTCATGATGTATGACAATTCAAGATGGATGCATTTACAAATATGATTAATAAACATGAATTTATACATTTATTACTTCCTACATTTATATACTTTTTTGCACATTATACATAATTTAATTTCCCTTTTCCCTAGGAAAATGAATTTGTTGCAGAAAGATATGAACATTTATAACTCCTTGTAAAATTCCCTCAAAATACATCTGAAACGTTGGTGTTGTGACATTCCTTTGATAAGTACAAGTAAAAGGATTTAAAATGTTTACATTGTTTACGTGTATTTTAACATTATCATATTTTACATTTTATTTGAACATTTTATATGTTCTAACATATAAAAGAGAAAAGTATTGTAATGCGACGGCAAAAATTGGTAATTATTATCCCCCCCCCCCAGAAAATCTTATAATTTAGGATTCTGGCATCAAAAAAGTGAATAAATCTCGTTTGTATTGGTAGTTAATAATTTTATCTAACATGTGTAGTCAGGATCCACATTTTATGGGGCCTTGATATACGAAAAAATTGTTTTATTGCAAAACTTCTGTCCATTCATGGTCATCGCTTGCACCTAAACCATTCAGACGATTTTCTCTAAAATTGATATTTCCCCATCAATGTGGATCAACACGAGAAAACAAATGTTTTGATTTTTGGAGGTATTTTTATGTAGTCTCAAGAATATTGTCAAATTTTTATCAAAATCGGCTCCAAAATTTTTATTACGTTTCTTTGGATAGCACAAAAAAAATGACTCTGGTTCCATTTTCATTAAACTTTTCAATTTTCAAAAATTGCAAAAATTACAAAAATGTGAGAAAGTATGTACAATTGTATCACTGCTAGTTTCTCTTCACTTTGCCAAATAGTGAACCTAAACAAATAATAATTAACTTTATATTCCAATCCTATTGTGTAATATTGTGAATATCTTATTATATTTATAATTCATGTCCTTTACAATTGACCTTATTCATGTAGTTTTACATTGAAACATATATGACTGAATGGTCAGGCAGATAATTTTTTTTCATGCTTTTAGGAAACTATTTGCTTATTGTGCTGCTTTGAGAAGATTGACAAGCCAATGCAATCAGTAGTATTAATCAGATATGTCTGTGAAAAGGAATAATCTAATCAGTAACCCTACTAAGCTGACTTGATATATCAGAAGATAACTTTCAAGATAATTACATACTAATGAAACCTGTGGATAAAGGGATTTGATTCCAACCCTTTTAATCTAAACAGAACTTTTGAGATTAGTAATTGGTCTACAAGACATGAGTATCTCAACCTTTTCTTAAAGGTACTTGGTGACCTGCAAAATTGAAAGTTTTTTAGAAGCCTATTCCAAGCCAGAGCTATACTTACAGTGAATGAATTGTTAAAAAAATCTGAGTGATACGTTGATATTTGCAACAATAAAGATTAATTTAGCCTGGTTGATTTTATGGCTCTTAAGGAATCTGGAAGTTGGAAAGGTCATTTTATCTTCCCTGTTTAAAAAACAAAACAAAAGCAAAGTACCTGTCACTTAGCTTCAAGATATGATTATTTTTCAAACAATTCCTCTCATTCATTAGAATAATGTAGGCATTTTTCTAAGCATCCACGTCTACTTATGACCCTCTGCCCCAAAAAATATTGTTTTTAAATCATCTCATATGACTTTTCATTTGATGTTTTCAGCAACTTGTAGACACCAATTGTTTACTAGAAATATAATTAGATAAATTATGTATACAATTTTTAAATTATTGTGTACAATAGTAATCTCTCAAGCTTGTAAACTTTAAATCTTTCTCATGTTTAAGATTAATAGATTTCTATTTTTGGTTGTTAATTATTATAAATGCAAGTATTCTCACTTATTTTGATCTTAGAACATCAGTTTTGTAATAAATAATGTGTTAACATTATTTATTTTCATTTTTTTAATTCATCTATTTTGTATTAATCTGCTGTAAATATTTCCCCAGAAGTAATCCAAGTTTCACTTTCATTTTTGATTTGTTGTAGGTTATCTCAGGGCAGTGGCTGGGATACACGGGTAAACCCATCACAGATGTTATTAATATTGGAATTGGAGGTTCTGATTTGGTAAGTGAAATCATTACACATGAGGTCAGTAGTGTCACAAAATCATTTTAAACTTGAAATAGTCTCAAAATAAATAATGATTTGCCCAATATTTACAAATTGATAGTCGTTAAGATTATTGTTAGAAGATTCAGCGAATGAACTGTAAAATGTTACGTTCGTCTTGCCTTTTCTTAACTTTACATGTTTAAGTTTTGGCTTTTACAGTATTCAGTACCATCTATACTGTAAAATATTTTTTCTTAGAAAGGCATTTCTATTTTCAAGAACAAAGATCTAATGACGTAAATTTAAAAAACTGTATTTTTTGTTGGAAGACATTAAAAATGACTGATTTTCATTAATAGGTGACTGAAGTAGCAATTTTTCAAGGTTGAAATATTGAAACAATTCAGAAAATATTATTTTTGTAATACTGTACTGTTATAATATCAGATAAATTCAATCAAAATAATCCAACCACCAGGAATGAAAACCCACTCTTAATGGGCGATGAATCTTTTAAGGTCTTAAGCAGTCCACCATTCATTTAAGAACTGAATACAATTTGATTTTAGCTGAAAATGGGCAATTGAGTACCCTTTCCGAAAAATTGTATTTCTTGTTTATAAGATTTTCTCTTATAAGAAAATATTGAATGGCAGAGCAGATAATGCAAATAATGAACTCCATTGATTATAAACCTCAGCTATCACCTTGGTTTATAAACTTTAACTGTGACTGTTCCTAGCTGTGTATCAGTGTAATTTAACAAGTGTAAAAATTTCTTGAATATGTATATTATTAAATATTAAATTATTGGCAGAATTTTTTTGTCATTTTTTAGTCATTTTTTTCGTAATTTTTTTCTTCCTTCCCTCCAATTGATACATAATTATACTTATATAAATGTCTATAAGATAACTTCTTTCATTGACTTCAGGGCCCATTGATGGTAACAGAGGCTTTAAGACCCTATGCTACTCGTTTGCAAGTTCATTTTGTGTCAAATATTGATGGCACACATTTAGCAGAAGTTCTTAAACGATTGAATCCTGAAACTGCATTATTTATTGTGGCAAGCAAGACCTTCACCACTCAAGAGACAATTACTAATGCTACTTCTGCAAAGAATTGGTTCTTACAACATGCAAAGGATGTAAGTTATTGTATAGTTTGGTAAAACTTATTTGGTACAAGTACATTTGAGAGATTTTCAGAGAAGTTCCAATATTGTTTCTATTGATATGCTACGATCTTTTTGTTTAAAGTTGTAATTTTCTGAAGTAAATGAGTTCTTCAACATAATGATTTACCATTGTTCAAGAAGGCAATTATTAGAACATTCAATTTTTTAACTTGATCAAATTACTTAGTATAACTTTGGCAGGTCTGTTTTCTCAACTTCCAATTTCAATAATTGTACCATTTTCTAGATCTTCCATTTAATTTTTAATAATGTTTAGTTTTGTTTGTTCAGCCAGCTGCAGTTGCCAAACATTTTGTTGCTGTATCAACAAATGGACCAAAAGTTTCTGAGTTTGGAATAGATCCTCAAAATATGTTTGGCTTCTGGGACTGGGTTGGTGGTCGCTACTCTCTTTGGTCAGCCATTGGTCTCTCTATTATCCTTCGAATTGGCTTTGACAACTTTGAAAAGTTATTAGATGGTGCTTATTTTATGGATAACCATTTCAGACAAACTCCCCTGGAGAGGAACGTAAGTGTAATTCATATTACATAGTTAAGTTATTTTATTTATTAATATTTATTGCATAAGATAAATGATATTACTAATTTTGTAGAAATAATAAGCATATTAATATTTCAGTAATAGAGCTGTGTATTATTGTAGTCAAATATTCTTCCAATTTTCCAAGAAATTTACTTATGATTTGATGTGTTAAGTACTTGAGTTTTCAGTTTGCCATTTATATTTATTTCATTCTACAAATTCATTAGAATTTCTTTCTCAGGCCCCTGTTATTCTGGCACTGCTTGGTGTATGGTATCATAACTTCTATGGCAGTGAAACTCATGCCCTTCTTCCTTATGACCAATACTTACATAGATTTGCTGCTTATTTTCAACAAGGAGATATGGAATCTAATGGAAAGTAAGTGAATTATATTACAATGTTGTTTCATAAGAATCTGAAAGCATTTTCCAAAGAAAGCTATTTCAAATGAATAATTCTAAGTGTTTATGTACATGAAATCCTAAATTATGTCATTCGCATAACACATCTTGTTGAAATAGTGGATAAGATTACTTCCTGCTTTTTTTGTTTTCTATCATAACATGAATGCATGACTTTCATTATAACTTAATAACATGTGGTTTATAAGATGCATTATGTGCATCATAATATGAAATTCTAATTTGTGCTGGAGAATGCCAGTGTTCAGTATCAATTTTTATTATTAGTTGGTGATTTGTTGTTGGTACTCAAAAAGTAATTTTTGTCACGTAAATTGTTCAGTTTGTATAGATGTGGGGTTAGGGAATTGGGAAAATAATGGAAAAATACATTTCCAAAAATAAGAGAGAAGTAGTTGCAAGGAATGGCTAATAGAGAAGAACAAAAACATTAAATATTGAGTAAAATTTTGAACTCTCGAGATGACTTTCAATGAAAGTGTTCTCTAATGATAATTTAAACCATTTCATGGAGTAGTACCAATACTGAACTTAACAAATGCTGCTAAATGTGATTCAACATTGCTAAGTGTTCATATCACAAAAAACACTAAGAATGTGTGCCAGAGACACACCCAGAATTTTTCTCAGCGAGGGGGCCACAGGTGTAGTGTCCTGCAGACTCAACGATTTCTCCCAAAGAATTTTTCATTTGTGCTGAATATCAAATATATTTTTACTTTTGACTTATAGTTAAGATATATAGCATTACCAAATGATATTTTGAATGAATTTCATTTTTATAGAAAATTTGTAAAAGCTACATTTTTTAAATGTATGGTCTATCATTGGCATCTTGAGGAAAGGGGGTAGGTTAAGTTTCAGGGGTCATCCATAAATTATGTAACACAAATTTGGAGTATTTTCAATACCCCCTCTCCCCGTTGTGTGCACTTGAATCCCTCACTAATAATTACGTAACGCTAGTTACATAGTACAATACAACAATAAAAATAAATTATAGCACAGTACAAACAATTTGTATTTATTTTCCTTGTGTCGGACATTAAAATTAATATTAATTGGTAGAAATTTGTAAGCGATGCTTACTGCACCTAACAATAAATTTGGGGGCAAGTCGTGAGTTAAGGAAGAACGCATTGGCAAGAAAATGTTTGATCACAAACTGTGCACACACTGTCATAGATCTTGCATGAGCAGGAGTCTACTATGCCAATTTAAATGGATTCTAGAATATACTAGTACTACATACAATTTTTTTCTACAATATATTTTCTTCGTAATCTTACAAATTCAATAAAAAATTTGTAGAAAATATATTTCCATTTATTGCAACAATTTACGTCTAGTAACATTAATTTGTTTGTTTTGCAACAAACTAATTAGTTAATATTTTAATGTTTTATTATATGACTCAAAATAGGCATTATTTCAGCAAATGTTTAAAAATTAAAAAAAAAAAAAATGCCAACGTAACATTTGAATATTACTACCCTACCCCAACGTAACGCAGCTTAACACTGCCTCCCCACCTCTTTAGCGTTACGTAATTTATGAACAAACCCCATGACCCTCCCCGTAGTGTTCATGACACTGATGTATGCATTCACATTTTTGTCCAGATATGTAACTAGGAGCAGTGGTAAAGTTGACTACAGTACGGGTCCTATTGTGTGGGGTGAACCTGGAACTAATGGCCAACATGCATTCTACCAGCTAATCCATCAAGGAACTCGCACTATTCCCTGTGACTTCATTGCCCCTGCAATCTCACACAATCCTATTGAAGGCAATAAGCATCATAAGGTAAATTCACATTTTTTAACTTTCTCATTCATTAAATAATATTGGGATATTTGTGAACTTTTTCTTCAATACATTCATAATTTTCAAATGCCTTTGATTTACTCTCCTTGAAAAATGGAAATATTAGTTCCTTTTTCTTAGGATAATTGAAAATGCTATTTTGTATGAATCATATATTAACAAATCTTAATAATAAAGTTGGACAAAAATAGACAAATGTTTATAGGTGAGTTATAGATGATAATGATTTAAATTAAGCAATAAAAAATGAAACATTGATTAATGCCTCAATTAATTACTCAAAATTAGTTAAAGTGTAAGTTGATTAAGGATGCTAGATATTACTGTGGATATGGCTTTCTTTTTTTTTCTTTTTTTTTTTTTCTTTTCTTCTTTCCTTTCCTTTTTCCTTTCGACACTCTCTCCTAATGTAATAATATAAATGAAATTACAGAATACATTAGGTTATTCTTAAAAGATAATAACTATTATTTTATAATTTAGCTCAGTAAATTAGGATTTCAAATATTTTTCTAGCTTTAAAAAAATCCACTCAATTGCATACCATTTTCTTACTTTGTGCTCCTTAAAATGGGTACCTTGGTCTTTGGAATCTGGAGTCACAGCACGCACTCTCACAATTCTATTTTACTATTTCAGTTCTTATTATTTCCAAAATATTCTTTGTTTATGAAGAATTCCTTGTCATCACTTTCATTTGATGATGTTTCAGATCCTGTTGGCCAACTTCCTGGCTCAGACTGAGGCTTTAATGAAAGGGAAAACTGCTGAGGAAGCTGAGGCAGAACTGAAAGCTTCAGGAGTTTCAGGAGAGAAACTAGCCCAACTGACACCCCATAAAGCATTCCAAGGCAATAGACCAACTAATTCAATAGTTGTGCGCCAAGTTTCTCCTTTCACTCTTGGAGCACTTATTGGTGGGTGTTAGCAATTTCCGTTCATTGGTTTTTATTGTTATTGAAGTTAAGTTTATTGAACTAATAGTTGAAGGTACGTGTACCTTAGGTTTGATTTAGTATACAAATAGCTGCAATTTATTTTATATTCCACATAAATAATCACATTGCTTTTCTTCATTTGATCACTGAGAATTAATTTATTTTGTTCTACACTTATTTAAGCTTTACATTACAAACACTGGGCTAGTCTTCTTCCATAACCTTTCCAAAAATACAAAACAAACTGTTTTGTAAATAAAACTTTATTTATAAATTCTTTGCTATGAAAATCATATTAAATATAATTGAAATCAGTTGCGAGAGAAAAAAAATGAACCTTAACAAGACAGAATATGGAAAGAAAGTCTCAACTGAGGCTTCCTTTACTTTTCAACAGAAATACACATTTTGGGGCCCCCTGACACTGAAAAAGTGGGTATTTCAAAACATCTGTCTGTCTGTCCACCTGTGAACAATACTAGCATCTAAACCATATGTAGAACTTTTTCCTTTGGCGTTACGTAATTTATGAACAAACCCCATGACCCTCCCCGTAGTGTTCATGACACTGATGTATGCATTCACATTTTTGTCCAGATATGTAACTAGGAGCAGTGGTAATGTTGACTACAGTACGGGTCAATATATCAATATATCAACTTTGAATAAACCCCTGTCCATATGGCTCAAGTCAAAGCTTTGAGATTTTGAAAAACATTCTTTGAAATTTGGGGCCACCTTACATGAAACCCTCTGGACATTTTCAAAATTTTCTCAAAGACAGCTCCAATTTTTTTTTTTTTTTTATTTCTTGTAAGAATAGAGTAACATACACTTACAGGAGTGGCTTTTGTCCAATTTCCATGGTTAACTTTGAATTTTTTTAAATTTCAAAAGTATGAATTTTTTTCACAGTCTTCCTAAAACTACAAAATTGAAGGTAGAGGTTTTTCCATTAAAAATTACATTTGTTGTCCATAATTACTTCTTTCATTAAGGTTATGAACATTTTTTTGAAACTTTTAGCAGTTTTTGTGCAATATTTGAAATTTAAAAAAAAATACAAAAAGAACAGTTACTCAAAAAAGACCCCAAATGTTTTTCTTTAAACTTTTGGTAGCGATAGTGTGAAATGTACAGTGTATGATGACATAACACCATATTGCTCTATTCCTGTATTTTTCAAAAATTACAACAATGTAATTCTTTTTACTTGTCTCCCACGTTGTTAATATTTATATTAGTGGCAATTTGTTCACATTATTACTTTTATGAGTAAATGTGCTTTAAAAAATATAATTTGAAAATAACTATCTAGTATATTTTACTCATTTATTCAGAGCTGTCAGGTTGAGTAATTGTTAGAGACATAAGATTTGCATTCAAGAGTTATTTGAATTTACTTATTTCATAATCTTCCTGGAAGGATTCTAGTTTACACTTGCTTGTTGCATTTGTTGATATATTAATTTTCTCAATTGATACCCCTATTCTTTTACTGAGCCAATTAATGGAAAATGTCTTGAATACTTGATCATTAGGCCTGTACTGAACAAAACAATATAGTAATACAAACTACTTTTAGAGAAGTGTACTGTAACACCTTTAACATTTGCAAACATTTTCTTTTCAGCTTTATATGAACACAAGATATTTGTGCAGGGAGTTATCTGGGACATCAATTCTTATGATCAGTGGGGGTAGGTATCAATATATTAAGTCCTTAATAAAACATGGTAATGTATTTTCAACAAACCAGTGTGCATATTTAATCATTACTGAGCCTTTAGAGTATTTTCATGCAAAATTTCTCCCACATTTACTTTTCTTTTAATATGAAATAATCTTTCTATTTTAAGTGTGGAGCTTGGGAAGCAACTTGCCAAGAAGATCGAACCTGAACTGGAAGATGCTAAACAGCAAATCTCATCCCATGACCCATCTACTAATGGACTCATTAATTTTATTAAGTCCTACTGGTGATGAGGTGCAAAATTTCTTCCACAGTAGGCATGGCTCAGACAGTTTGGTGGAAGGGTCACTAGCTTTCGCTTCAATGTTCTTTCTGCAGCCAGGGTGATAGGCTCTGTGTGGTGTAATGTTGATATTGATGTGAGATGTAAATTATCATTGTTAGGCTAGTATTTTCTGTGAAATACAATACAAATACAAATTATAGTTTAATTAAACATTGTACATCATGTCTGAGAATGTTGAGTTCCTGTCGCATAGTCTAAATATGGTTTTGAGTAAATTAAAGTTGCTGATCAGCCTCAGGTATTTGTATCTTTGTGAATTTTAGTGATTGTGCTCTAGAGAGTGTGACTTTAACATTTTATACAATCCAGGAAAATGTTCATGAAATTAATTTTCGATTTGCAATAATTATGAAGTATTGATCCTCAAAGAGAATTCTATTTGATTGATTTCTGTACTACTGCCATTTCAGTTATTCTGCTGATTGAACGTTCATGCAATATTGACAAGAACTGAATATTCTGAGATATTCTGCGATCTTCACTCATTTTTATTATTTTTCTACTAGAAGAGATTAAAATGACATTAACAGTGATGATTTTGATCTGAATATATTTATTTTGTTGTGCCATATTCTATTGGTATTGGAGTGCTATCTCAGATGCAGTTATAATCATGTGACTGATATTGTAATACTACTTTAAAGAAATATTTGTACTACCTACTTTTTGTTTTTGAAACAGTGAGTTTGTTTTGATATACCTAGGTAATTACTCATTCACTGCCACATATATTTTTGTAGACTTATAATGCAAACAAATAGAAATTCATGATATCATAGCTTTGAAAACTTTTGTCAAATTTAGTTGTAATAAAAATGTAACTAATATGTGAAAAAAATATAAATATTTTTTAAAAATATGTGAAGTGTGTAGGATATCCTACATTGTCACTGTGTGAAGCAAATTAAATTAAATCTGAAAATTGGAAAATTTTTAAATATTCAAGGCCTTCAATTTCAAGTTTCTTTTTACCGCTGGATTTCAAACCTCAAAGTGGAAAATTTTAGATCCGAAGAGCTAAATGAAGAAAATTACATATTTGGTGCTGTTTTATTCTTTAAGTAACTTCATTATGCAAGAGGTAAATGAATAAAAATTGCTACCAGTTATTGAATTTAAAAAAAATTCAGAGCATTAATTGAATCCTTTATTTCAGAAACCTGCCAAAAGCCAAAATCTAATAGATGCATTAGTAGAGGACTATTGTTCCAAGAGAATAGACATAGTTTAGTGCATATTTATATGAAAAATATTCATTTATTAACTGCTTTAATAAATAAAAATATTTTGATATCAGATAAATTGGGAGACTTTTTCTCAGTTTTCTCGGAAAGAGAAATTTGACGTTCGACGAGTTTCTGAAATAAACAATTCAATTAAACTTATCTATAGCGCTTTCAACTTAATCTTGATCAGAGGTTTTAAAAGCAATATTTTGTAATTATTTTTATCTAATTTATTTTATTTATTAGTTTGCTAAAAGATACCCTAATAGTTCTCTACATACAAATTATTCTTACTTTTACATGGTGATGGATTCCCTATTCATGCTTTTTAAGACCACAAATTAACAATAAAATATAGAATTAGAATATTTTGATGTTAAAATCATTGGTAGGACTTTCCTGAGAAATACATTTTCCATAATTTTAAAAATAGTAACATATTTGATTTTGGTACAGTATGGGTTGGTCATCATGTGGGCTAACTCAGTGCTCCCATGGCAAAGTCAGTGGCCTTTCAACACTGAGGTTCTGGGTTCGATTCCCATAGAATACCCATAGAACCTTATGTGAAATTTGTTACGACAAAACGAGTTTACCTGCTTCGCAGGGGCTAGTCCAACCCTTGTGAAGTGTCGTAAACCTTAGCTCTATCCTTATTCCTTCCCAATTCTGGCTGCTGGGTAGTGATGCTGAAGCATGTGGTATGAGGCGCATATGCGGAGATGCTACCTGGCGACCCTCCTGACAACTGAATACAAGATATGTCCTGACATTCTAGTAATGGAGAATTACTCCTAATAAGCACACTGATTAATGGAGGATTACTTAAAGCGCAAAGTGCTCAACACCCCCCAAAGGGCTTGGAGTCGTGTTGCATCTATGTAGACATAACAATTTTTTTTTTTTTTTTAAGTTTCTACAAAATAACTACAATCGGAGAGAAAAGGAACTATAAATCTTGGGTGTATTTCAAAATTATATAAATAATACTTCTCAAAGTTCTTTAATCTTTTATTGCCATGAAGCTAGAAAAATATTTTCAAATTGCATTTGTGAAATATTATTACTTGTAATCCATCACTGCCAAATGTTAATTTTTTCTACACGAACCTGCCCCAAGTAAGCCTCAACCTCAACCTATGAGTCCCTTGCCAAAGAGATAAAAGGCATTACTTCACTGTGATGTGACAAGACAAAATGACAAAAACGTCAAGAAGTTATTCCAGAGATTATATGCCTGATGCCGAAAAAGAGCTGAGGGATGTGTTGCAAATTAAGATGCTACAAATTAAGAGGAGAGAATTAGAAATTACAATTTAGGTTTTATAATAAGTTAATCATATAATTAAACATTTCATTTATTATTTGCATAAAACATCTGATTTAATTATCACTTATTCTGGGATAAATTCACCATAAATTTTCCCTTCATAATTTCATTGTAGGCATTAGAAACAGTGCTTAGAATGCTCATAAGACAATCATGGGTTTGTTGATAATATAATGTTTATAATAGGGGAATGTAATAGCTAAATAGTTCTTGTTTGGTTTACAATTAATATACTTTTCGTAACAATATTTTAAAATCTATTTGATTTGACAGGAATATAATTATCAAGATTGGTAAATTCACAAATATAGAATCACGAAATGACAAGAAAAATAAACACACACTATTATTTATTTAGAGAAATTAAATGAGGAAATCATAATCTCTAGGCCAATGACCCCCTCCTGATAAGGTTTTTTGTCCAGTTTCCCTGGTCCTTAGAGCAAATGTTGAGATGGCTCCTTGTTTTGCTTCTGGACAATAAAAATAAATATAATTTCACTCGCTGCTCTCAAGACGATGTATGTGATTGTACTGTACATATATATTATTTGACTCGTCATACACAATTGTAATTGCATATATGACTAAATAAATATTATTATTATTATTATTATTATTATTATTATTATTATTATCATCATCATCATCATCATTAGAACTAAAACAAAATAATGTTATTGACGAGACAGTTGTGAATGTAATAATTGTATACTCAAAGTAAAAATAAACCTTTACAATTTAAATCTATATAATATTTGCCACGTTTATAAACGAATATAAAATGTTGAAAAATTATAAGGAGGCTAAGTAAGTGCTTAGACTGCTTATGAATTAATTCATTCCTGCACAGGCGCTTCATTTATCTCTTTCTCTGACTTACCTTATGTTTCCATCTCTTCTGCCCCATCACCTCCATCCTTCGGGTTTAAATACACAAAAAAGAGTTGTTTCCTTCGAACCTCGCGCACTTCTGGTGGTACAATTTGTAGGAAACTGAGTTAATTTCTTGCAGAATAACCTGTCTACCAATGTCCAACACGACGTCAAATTCGTCGCAGCGCGCCTCCGCCACTCTCCATCGAGTCTCCAAAAGCCCAAAGAACGTCCACCAAAAAACTGTGAGCGCTCTGACACGCTGCCAAACACGTTACATACCGTTTCCTTTGACCAAGTCTAGGTAACTTCATTGACGATTTAAAGTGGTGCGTTTCGAAGGAAATTAAATATTGATTTACTCGTTGTGTACGTCCAAATATTCTGCCTTGTTAAATTATTGATTATTGTTTTACAAGTGAAAAAAGCTTCATACTGGAACACAACTTCGAAAGCTAGTATCTGAATTGCATTACAGCATTTTAAGTCCGGTACTATGCTTGGATAAACGTTCTAACATTACTAAACGTTTACTAAAAAAGACTTACACCTATTAAATTAAATTCAACAGAATATAATAATGTAAGTTTAATTTTATTACATAGAGCTCGAGATTCCGCTCGTTTCTGATTATCTGTGCCCAGAAAAGAGCTACTACTCCATAAATGTAATAAGAGAATCAAACAGGTTTCATTTTGTAGAACACTGCTTAAGAAACGTTATGGTCCCACTTGTGCACCCGTTTGTCCCCTCACATGTTCTTCCATATGTTCCCTGCTCGCTCCCCGCATGTTTATCTGCGTATTCCCCACATGTTCCCCATAGGTGTGCCGGCTGAGAGGGTTCAGGGCACTATCCATTGCTATTGCAGCGTCTCTGACCGCAAGGACTCAGGATTCGAGTTTCGACGGTGACGGATTTTCGACATTAGCCAAATAGCTAGGTCGAATTCAGCCGCTGTCTGGAGGCAGTCTGTCTTCTAGCCACCGGCAGCCCTGATCGGTGGTTTTCCTGTTTCCTCCGATAAAACCAGGCGAATGCCGGAGCAGTACTCCAAGCAGAGCTGCTGTGATCGGGAGGTTTCCATGGTTTCTCCGATCAATACCAGAAGAAGATCGGAATATTACGGTAACGAAGAGGCCATAAACCTCGCGCGATCTTTCGTTCCTCATCCTTGTCCCCCCTTACACTTACACGCACACACACACACACACACACACACACACACTCATGCACAACACTTACACTTGCACATATGTCGAGAGATCAGTCGGGAGCTTAGAACTTGTCCCGGCTAGGGGCGGTGCTCCGCAGGCGGAGATAGCTGGAGAGGGGAAACCTCCGCAAGCTGACATGTTGATCAGCATCGAATCCCACGTTCTAGCGGGCGAAGAACATTGCCACTTCATGGGATATAACATGCACTACACATACGGCTATGACCGCAGCAGCTGACCAGAGACTTAGCTACGCTCTCGGGGGCCCTGATGCAGAAGATCCAAATGGGGACCCCCCCTTACTGCCATTGCCTAACGTGAAAATTGAATAATATAGCTAATTTATATTGGTACATGTATTATTACATTTAGCCATAGCCATTTTGCTTATGAAATATTTGGTTTTACAGATCTAAGAATAACAGTTAATTAGATACTCATGGCCGATATTCTGCTTATTCTGCGAAATGATGGGCTCAAAATGATTTAGTGTACCACGGAAACTGAAGAGGATCTAAATGTTCAATCTACTTCGTATTATTATCAGATGCATTAAGCATTGTCAACACAAATATTGTCACATTTTTGCGAATTGGCCAGCTAGGACCACGCGGACATATACCTGCGCTTACCGAGGTGCAGTTATATTTCTTCTTTCTCGCACCTCCATGAATCAAATTTTGAACACACAAACTTTGATTTTCGCCTTAAAATTCGAAATGTGGAAGTTGCGCAGCTTCAAGTTTACATTTTAAATATATTGCTCTGTCTACCTACAACTATGCCATAAAATCTGCCAAAGCAACTTATTTTGATGTGAATGTAGACACTTCACGTTTTTGGGATAAGCATGGAAAACATCTATTTATTACAACAAGTATTATTTCAAAAACAAATGTTGAAGTGAATGCAAAAAATTCGCGTCCGAAATTCTGTCGTTGCGTAGGGGGTAAAAATTTTGGTGACTGTCCGAATTCAGTTTGCATATAACATAAGCTTTACATATTAGAAGAACATGAACTCATAAAAAATTATGCACGCTGAAAGAATTCTGTATTCGTAAAATGTAGCATGGCACAAAAACGTTTCAACTCATTGATAGTCACGTGTCTGCAAGATAGTCAACACGTTTACCTCAGCAAACTCCTGATGGCAAAATTTAGACAACTAACATTACGTTTCCGTGATCATGCTGCATCTTGGAGTGAGAAAGATGAAAAGTCAATCCCGACAAAGACTTACGATTTCAAATTAAAACAATTGTCCCCAAAACGCCCCCCCCCTCCCCAAAAAAATCGGATCACGTCTTCCAATTATCTTCAATCGGCAGATGTCACTTCGAAAGACAGGATGCGAGTTAGAAATTAGCTAATTGCATAGAGCATTAAAGGTGTCAGTTGCGGAGAAATGAAAAGTTAAACGTGTGATAGATTCCACTGATGGCGGGCAGTGGCGGGCTGAAGGCGTGCGGAAGGCAGGCAGAGGGCCCACTGAGGGCAGTGGACTGGAGGAGGGTGGGCCGATGGCGGGCGGAGGTCGGACGGAGGGCAGCCGGATGGTGGGCGGAGGCGCGGGAGAGGGCGGGCGGATGAGGGCTGGAGAAGATCGGGCGGAAGGCAGGAGGACGGCCTGCTGAGGGCGGGCGGAGGGTGGGTACACAACTCGGGGGCCGCCCGCAGCCAAGCGCTCCGCAATTACACGCGTGGAGATACGCATCGGCCCGCGGGCTGCACCTCGAACGGCGCGGCGCGGCGCGGTGCCACTGAGGGCTGTGGGCGCAGAGCGGCGCGGAGCAGGCGAGGCGGCGGCGGCGGCGGCGGCTGGCCGGGTTTTAATTGGGCGTCAACGGCGTGGAGTTGGCGGTGGGAGCCCGCATGCCTCCGGCGGTGATTCAGCGCTCGCCGCGGCCCCCGTGGTCTGGCCCCGCGCCAGCGCCCCACCCCTCCCTCCACGCGAGGGGGCCTGACTTTTGTTCTGGACAAAAGATACAATGTCAGGTTGCGTTAATGAGAAGTGTAAGTAGTAGGTCAAGTAGTGCTTGGAAATTTAAGATCACAGCTTGAAGTAGAAAGTAGGAATTAGATTTTTTTTAAAGATTTTAACTACCACTGGGAGTAGCAAAAGTGAAAAAAAAGGACTGAAATATTTTTAGATTGGATTTGAAATTCTCATTGCCATTTCAAAAATTCTAATTTTTCGTATTTATTAATTTTTTTATTCACAAACTATTGCATTATCTTTTCCAGTTTCTGAGGTCGGTTTACTTCATGTTTCATTTGAAACCAAACTTTATAAGAATACGTTAGTATTTGGATGAGTAGATCGTCTTATATCATTTTACGATTCGTTTTTATTACATTTGACTACTAATGACAGGCATAACTGAGGTCCAGATTATCAATGCGTGAAAATGTTTAATTGAAGACAATAAGTACAAATCGTGCTTAATGCCAAAAATAGAATTCCGAGAAAATTAAGAAAAACTGTTTCAAAAGCTCGCGGGACTTGATTGATAATTTCAGATAGCCCATTTTACATGGTATTGCGCTTGACACCACGCTTTGCAGCACAGAATGCAAATTTTCACATTTTGACACTTTGACCGGTTTAATTTTTGCTCTTCAATTGCTTTTATGAACGTTTTTGATTTGTAATGAATTTAAATATCTTCAATCGATTTGTTTTTAATTAAAAATATAAAAATGCAACATAGATTAGCTTATATTTAGTCCTGCGTCATTTTTGTATTATCTGAAAACTTTTTAATGTTTTTAACCAGTCACTGAAATACTTTGTCTTTTCGAAGGTCTATCGTCTGCGTTCTGTTAAAATGGTTTTGAATGCGGAAAAACTGCTCTCCTCACAGAAGAGACGCATACTTCCTGACGGGTATTTTCTTAGGAATTAACAGCGGTTCTTTTTGTGTCTTGTGATTGCAAAGAACTCGATCCACGCACAGATTCAATTTCGTTACATGTTCTTTATGTTGTAGATGACAATGTAGATCGTTTAGACCCAATAGATATAATGCTTTCTGTCTTTGGCGTCTCTGACCGAGAGGTATAGTGTTGGAGTTCAATTTTCAACGCTAGCTTTGTAGTTAGGTTCAATTCAGTCTCAGACTAAAGGATAATTATTGTGGCCGGCTAGTGTGATCGTAGTTTTCCGCGGTTTCTCAGATCAATTACAGGTGAATACTGGAACAGAACCCAAACAAAAGGGGAATGAACCACGCCATTCTCCCCTTCCTCATTCTTGTTCCCTCATCTCCCCTTACCAACACACTTACACTAATTAGTACAACACGCGTAAGGAGGCTTAGAGCTTGGCGGAGATACGTGGAGGAGAGAAACCTCGAAACGTAGAGGTTGATGTTGTATCTCACGTTCCAGTGGGGAAAGTACACTACCATCTCCCGATAAATAACATTCCTCACACTCATGCAACTAACGAGAATAATTGGTCACGGTCTCAGAAACACCAAATACTAAACGATTCAGTCCATAAGTAGAAGTTATTTTTTTCTGATTCAATATATTGTTAAATTTATTTATTGGTATATAAAACAAAACAAAATATCCATATTTTAAAATTACTAACAATAGCAAGAAAACATGTTCAGACCTAAGAATTCAGTACTTGGACATGACAATCTTTTTACCGATCTAAAAACAGCCCCCAAGCCTATCCCGCAAGACTGGATCAAGCCGATACCCCAGAAAGTCTGAATGAGTAAAATAGTACTTCATGTCAATAGAAAATATTTGTTTGCAGTCTCGAAATGACCCGCATCCAACTATGCACACGGGCCTCCAAAGTGCCCTTGCTCTCAATGTGACCATATCGATTTATTGTTGCCATCTGAAAAGTCACCTCCACTGAGCTGCTGGCGCTCAGCCTCTGGTACCATTGCCAATAATAATGTGTCGAAGATAAATCTCTGTCCGGGCAATGACATATTGATTCGCAATTGTTTTCGTCTTGACGACGACGTCTTTGTTTATTATTTACAGTCAATAGTATTACGGCACTGAGTAGAATCCATTTATTTTTGTACAAGGAAGGTAAAATAAAATGTATATTCCTTTACTTGGCGCATTACGTTTGGCTCACGGCGTGTTAAAAAATAGTATTCACAACACGAGCGTGAGGTGATTCCCGCACTCGACTCGTGCGTGAATCACATATTTTGCGCCCTTGTTACGTAAACTACTATATTCATGCACGCAGTACCTATGTGGTTTAATTATTTAGATTTAATACGATAATAGGTAGAGTATTGTTGACAAAGGACAGGGGTTTCAGAAATTAACTCCTTGATGACTTTCAGAAAAACAAACATCTGTATCCTCCGCTTGTACACAAGTACACATATATACGGACTAGGCCTTTTGTTTTGAAAATATGATCGCGCCGTCCCTGCGGCTTGTATTTCTTGGCACTCGCCTCACCGCCTCAGCGACTGTCACAGCTGGCCGCGCCTCTCTAATTTCGCGATCGTCACACCCACTCGACAGCGCCGTTCCGGAGCCTCGCTCCGCCCGTCCCATCGCCGCCGCGGCGTCCGTTCTCAACGCTAAATATAATAGCACTGCCGTCGTCACCGTCGCCGTTTCGTACCCCGGCTCCTACCGCCCCTAGCGTCGCTGTCGCAGCTAACGTAGCTGCAGTCGTCAGTTCTGTCGCAGCTGACTCTGCTTCCGCCTCCGTCTCCGCCTCCGCCTCTGCCTCCGCCTCCGCCTCCGCCTCCGCCTCTGCCTCTGCCTCCGCTGTCGCTGTCCTCCGCCTCTGCCTCTGGCCTCCCGCCTCCCCGCCCGCCTCCGGCCTCTCTCTGCCTCCGCCTCCGCCTCCGCCCTCCGCTGCCCTCCGGCTCGCTCCTCTGCTCCGCCTCCGCCTCCGTCTACGTCTCGCCCCAACTCCTGCCAAACTCGCCTCCGCCTGCGCTCTAACCCGCTTCCGCCTCTAAACTCCGCCTCCGCTTCCAACCTCGCCGCCGCCTCCAACTCGCTTCCGCCTCCGCTTCCTGCCACCTCTATAAACCTAATTCTCCT